ATGGCTTCAGGCGTAAAACGCGAACGAAGCGATGGGTTTGATTATGATTATGAGGCGGTTCTGCTGGATATAGAAGGAACAACAACTCCGATATCTTTTGTTAAGGTAACCAATTTATTGATTAGAAATCGAGCAGTAGCAGAATGGCATTTTTCTCGAATATAAAATTCTAGGAAAAGTTTAATAGGCAGTCATGCGTTGCACTGCTGCTAGTTGAGCTTATAAATTTAAAGAAACTTTAAATTTACATTTAACCTTATTATAAGATACTCACTACTCACGAAATACACTGTACATTGAAAACAAAACAACGGCTGTAATTATAAAAGAGGAAGTTTTGTATTCCACACAAACACAGGCATCCCAAGCTGACTAATACTGTGGGGCTTGTTAAAAATTAATAGACTATTAAATACGTACAAAATAACTAGCAATTATTGTATTTTGTCATCGTAGGATATGAAGAATTCTGCGGATCAAGGAGGGTGTTATCCACCCACAGGCGGCCCAAACTCACGTTGCGAGGGAAGGGTGTAATGTAATTTACATAACATATGTGACGCGCCCGTGTCGCATTACAGGCGACCGTTGAAAATATAAGAGACTTTGTATGGGAAATATATTACTGAGATCTGCGAACGCGAAATGAATAAAAAAGTCTTACCTGCAATCTATTCCGCTGCGGTTTGGTGTCTGTTTGTCGATTTACTGTTTTTTTGGCTTTATTGCGTAACCACTGTTACTCCTTTCATAGGAAAAGGTCAACGGTCATGTGTAACGCGACACCGGCACGTCAAATATGTTATGTAAATTACATTACACCCTTCCCTCGCAAAGTGAGTTTGGGCCGCCTGTGATCCACCAAGGCTGAAGGCAGAGGTTGATAACACCCTCCGAGATCTGCAGAATTCTTCATATCCTACGAAAGCCGAATAGACCTTTTTACCGATATGGCGGCCATATTGAACTAATTTGATTTAAGGAGTATTATAGGATGCCCAGGGGACATGAGCACATTTCGTTTGTGTTTTTGAACACTTTTTGGGACATTTTTTCTTAAAGTTCTCTTAGAATAAGATCCTTGTGCCGTGTTTGGATGTAATAATGATTGCCTTTTTTCTGAGAAATATACAGTCAAAGATTAGATTTCTAATACTAAACTAGAAAAAGGCGACCATTATTACATCCAAACACCATACAAGGATCTTTTTTCCCATTACAATCTTATTCTAAGAAAACTTTAAGAAAAGATGTCCCGAAAAGCGCTCGAAAATACAAAAAAAATGTGCTCATGCCCCCTGGGCATCCTATAATGCTCCTTCAATCAAATTAATTCAATATGGCCACCGTATTGGTAAAAAGGTCTATTCAATACATTGCTTTATTATTCATTCAAAATAATTCCAAGTTGAAAATTCCAAGCTAACACATGCTTACCTGGGTCAATGTTAAGTTCATATCAATAGTGCATCCTTATCGGAGATCAAGGGCTGTTCAAGTCTGCAAATATACTCTAAAAGCTGATGTTGTCTTCTTGCTGTAACTCTTGCCATGTTTTTAGACAATAGTTCGCCGTGAAATGAGTAAAATGTTCTGCCATTCACCATACTCACTTCAAAAACAACTCAAACTCGTCCCCAGGTTTTCCTGGTTAACGGTTCAATAATCTGCAACTTTGCTGCACTTTTGTCATCTGTTCAATATCAATGACAAAATTCTTCCAAATTTGGTCAACAGTAGCTGGTCATGATGAATTATGCGTGTGATTTGAGTCAATCAGAAATGGAGAAATATTTTGAATGAATAATAATATTATTATTAGACTTATTAATGCAACCCAAAAAAGCAGGCTTCATTTTATTTTAAGAAAGGTTCTTGTAGGCTTCATAGATGGTTCCACTCCAGGGGTTAATATACTGTGGATTCAAAGTGGTGGTAATTATCTAAGGATTTTTTTGGGTTTAAAAATTTCCCATTATTTCCAAGAATTTTTTTCGGTAGGAAAGTTAAATTTAAGTTCATATTTTATTAGAGTGCCTTGATTTGAGTACGGATTTTATTTTGGTTTTTCAGTATCACTTATTACAATCTTGAGATTGACAATGTACACGCACCCTGCATATAGGCCAGCCACATAAGTTCATGAGGAAAAGATAAATTCAGATGGTACAATAAAGAAATAATGCAAAAAGCATTTACTGGCCCTTTTAAGTTATCAAGAATTTTTAAGGCACAGAAATTGGACATGGGATCTTTTGGAGGTCAATACTTGGCCGTAAGATTTTTGGGGTGCTTTGATTTTTGACCATACCTGTCACTTTAATTGCGGAGTATCAGTGCTGTCAACTCTCCCGGATAATCCAGGAGACTCCAGATTTTGGACCGTATCTCCCGGTCTCCAGATTAGAGTCTGATATCTCCCAGATAATTGCCAAAGCTGCTATTTCTGGTAGACTCGACTTTCTGACCATAAAATTTCAAATATTTTGCGTTGTTTGAGCCACTGTTAACATGGAATGTTTCCTCATAAATTCTGGTATGCCACTGTAATTTAAGCAATGATGTGGCTAAATATGAACTGTTTAAGTGCTATACAGTCGCATTGATCGTGATCAATGAGCATTTTTGGCACAAATGACATCATTTGTTGTGTGATATGATGTCATCTATAATTCCCTCTCTATCAGTTCTCAATATTTGATGACGTAGGGGGTTGACAGCCCTGGAGTATGCACCATGAGTAATGCACACAGGTGAAGATAAATGGTAGTGGGGGTGTGGATGCATTAATATTTGAGATACGACATAAAATGACCATTACATTCTTTTTTCAGGATATTCTTTTTCCATATGCAAAGAAAAATGTGAAGGTATTTCTTGAGAGAAACTGGGGAACAACTCAATGTACAGAGGATATAGAAGCTCTAAGAAATCAGGTATCTTAACATGTAACTTGACTGAAACTCACGTCGCTACCATATGGAACCAGATTACCCCCCCCCTCCCCTGGGTAATAATATATCCATATTGAAATCAGTGGCGATTCCTGTGATCTGATGGTTCTTAGCAGTGTGATTTATTCATGAATCATACACATACATGTCACTCTAAATCACGTCTGTTCTAAATTGCATCATTCATGTGTCATGCACCATTTTTGCTCTATTTATAACATCATTTCTGAATACTAAATGAGATGTAAAGCCTTTTTGTTTCAACTTTTCAACAGCTCACTCAACTTAAATTTCAGATCACAGTGTAAATACTACCTTGCTGTCTTTGCTGTGAAAACCACTCCAGCACTTACTGGTCTAGTTTTAGGATATTTGGGATATTTGGCCCAGTCTCTTCTCCAGCATTGCACATTATGCTCGTACGACGTATAGTCAATATTCTCGATCGATTTCTTTTATCTTGAAAACCGTACTATATGAGGAGCGACATGCTTTTGGCACGATGATAAAAAATAACAGCGATGAAAGGGATACTTGATACTGTGAAACGTTTTCTGGTTACTAGTAACTCATATTATTATTGTGGTTCTGTGGCCGCGTGGTAGTTGTAGCCATGAGAGACTGCAAGTTTTTTCCTGTTCGTTATTTTTTCATGTTTTGCGTTGCGTAAAGTTAGTTTAATTAGTACCTTTGATATCGCGCTTGGAGTAGTCTTTTGTTAGCCTTTTTTCATATGCTTATTCTTTCTGTATTCTAGTCTCGGCGTTGCATTATGTAATCGTTATTGTCAATTTTTGTAAGTTCGTGAGGTTTATTATTTTCAGTCCAGTTTAGTATAAAGTTTTGTGTTTTGGTTCATGTAAATCAGTCGCTTAGTTGTATCCGGAGTTGCCGTACAGATCTTGTAAGTAGTTATAGTTATGGTTATTGTTATAGTTTTTCCTTTAATTTTTGCTCGTTTTCTTAGTCATTTGTTGTACTTTAAGTTATCGTTTTTGTAAGGCTAATTCTGTATTTTCTTTTTTTTTTTGCTGTAATTGTTCTAGTGAATCGAGAAGAAAAAGTCGAATTCAAACTGTACAAGAGTGTTTTCTACAGTAGTATTCATAAATTTCGTTGGATCAATTGATATTCACGTCTCTTCATTGGTTTTTCTTTTTTCTTTATTTTAATTCATTAGGTTTTGTGTTTAGTGAGCCATTTTCTAATGTTTTCTGTGAGGTTCGCTTTCTCAATTGACCAGTTACAATCAAGAATTTTGCTCTTGGCTTATAGCTAATGGTTTTACTTTTTTTTGGTTGCATAAGTCTATAGAGAGGAGAAGTGTGATGTCACGTTAGCATGGTGGCAAAATTTTTGGATGACAATAATAGGGTTAAGCAATCTATGATGATGGCGACGGCAATGAGAATGGCAAAAAAGCAAGAAGTTTAGGTTGGCAAAACAATAACTTTGGATGTGCATCACGCTTTTTTGTACATTTCGTAGCTGTCATTGCACGACTGCGACATGAAACTTCCTAATTTGTTGCACCCACTTTATGGAGCAGGTGAACACTACATAAAAATTTTGTTTTCCTTTTTGTAAACTTAGATACCGTTGTTTCAGATTCAACCCCAGAAATTTCGCCAACATTTGACTAATTAAATGAAACTGAATAAAATTGATGAAGTTTGAAACAGTGCAAATTCACTTTTTAAGTGATGTTTTCAGTTTGTTGCCATCCAGAAAGTTTGTTACCATGGCAAAGTGACATAACGACTTCTCCTCTCTATTGGAAGGTCTCTGATTTTCAGGGTATCAGCTTTTAGCCGAGATTCGCCTTATGGATGAAGAAATACAGTATTTATTGGTACTGACTGAACTCTACAATTTCAAAATGACTGTAATAAAGTAGTAATTGAACTTCTCGTCATGCAATTTTGGTCTGAAATCATACTTGTGATTGCAAATCGAACTTGCACTGTATGCTCATCTGTTTAAAATCCCATGTTGATTTCAGTGTACCAATTGGCCCTCCACTCAGTTCAGTTACCATGTGATTATTAATTTTTATCTAACCAAATTAGGCTAAAAAAGATAAAGACATCACGGAAGGAGTTCTGTCAATTCCTGATCTGGATGATGAAAACCAGTCCAGTGATGATAAGAATGGGCTTGATAGCAGGTACTTATCGATAAAACTTGAAGTTTTTAGTTAATTTTCAAGTGATTTTTAGCTGTCTTAAAAAGTGAGATGAAATGGAGAGAGAATGGTATTTTACTGAAGTATGGTAAAAAAAATTGACATTTCAGTTCACTATAGCACTAATTAAACTGTAGATAAATGCAGAATTATTGCCACATGAACCTGTTTTAAGCTCTGTTAAGTAAGATCATCAGCAGAGCTGATCTAGTCTTTAACCAGGCAGTCATGAGTTTGACTTCTATTAACTGAGAGAACACTAAGATTTCTCTGTTCTGAGATGCCTACAGTTGTCACCAACTAAAAGACATCAGTTCTCAGCAAAAGAGTAGTAATATGTATACTCAGTCTGGTAAACTACCTATAATCTCAAAGTATTCGGGTTCAAAAACTAGAACATTGCCATAAAAGACATTAAAGGGACAGGTTCACGGTTCAGCACATGCTCATTAATTTAATTACTTTTTTGCAATTTGTTATTAATTCTATTGGTTAATAATCACACTCACATGTATCTCAATGATCTCAGAGTGTATTTCAAAGTAGAGGTGTATTTCAGTGTAGCCTGAAGTGGGATGGAGGAGTACTAAAATCGCAGAAAAAATTAGTGGATTATGCCAACACTACCAACGTTGAATTTATTGTTGACCCGAAGGTTTTATTCCATGGTTGATTAATTTACAGCTAATTTCACCCAAGTTGATCAAGTGACTGCCAGGGGAGTGTGCAGATTGATTCTTTGACATTATTATAACATGATCATCTTGCTTTCATAGACGATACAGCATGTCCCGACAGAAAAACAGCATTTTGAGTAATGAGTATGATCTGAACCATGAACCTGTCCCTTTAATCATCATGGATAATGTGTATAGAGGGTTTAGTTTTATCGTTTGTCTCACAATAATTGTCACTTTGATATTGATCGCGACATTTTGACCGCACACTGCAGGTCTTCGTCAGACAATAATGTTGATTTACTGAGGTGAACTATTTGTACCACTGTGGTTGTTAGCGATTGGTATATCACAAACCTCGCTCATGGTTGGTGGGTTTTGATCCAACGCATTGTTGGCATTGTGAGAGGAAGAAACTGATCCCTCGACAGTCTGCTGTGGTAGAGGTCGGATGTCATGTTGTCTGATTGTAGGCACTCTGTGCTTCAGGAATCTCAATTCCACTGTCCCTGTCGATGTTGTTAGGATAAAGTCTTATATAGATAGCCTCCTTAACCTAGGTTCTGCAGTATAGAAAAACAATTTTAAAAAACGTGAGAAAAAAATTGAGCAGGGTTTTAGAAAAATTGTGATGACATTTTGAAGTTAAAAAAGGGTCTGGTTGACAAAATAATTTAATTCCTGTTAAAGGTAACTTTGATTTAAAAAAAAACCATTTCTTTTTATTATTTTTAAATTAATTTTTAATAATTTTTATTTCTTCCCCTTAGTTCAAGAGGTTAAAAAAGAAATTTTTTTGTCTTTAGCAGGGAAACTATCATTGATGCTGCTGTGAAAAATGTCCTTTGGCAAATGAGCTCAGATCGAAAAACAACTGCATTGAAACAACTCCAAGGTCACATCTGGAAAGAAGCATATGATGATGGAAAAATCAAAGGAGAGTAAGTCTTGTTTTTATTCCTAATTCATTAATGGTTAAATTTTTTCTATTTTAAACCCTGAGTGTCAGGCACTTCCGGTGGGGTAAGAGGAAGAGAGAAGCTTCATCCTCTAAAATCTCCTTGATCATAACCCCTAACGAAGGCATGATATGAGCACAATTCTATTTAAATAATAAGCTACTTATTGCAGGATGCAAAAAACCGTTCGGAAATAATTTGTACAATTGGTTATTTCCCGACACAGACCAATTTGTGGTCTTTTTCGAGCTGAATGACAGTACGTCTTTACGGCAGACTTTTAACGATTCAGGCTCTATTATTTGCCAAACATCTTCATCGCTTTCTTTGTTGGTTTGAGTGACTAGAAGTTCAATTCCAAAAATGCTAGAGACGAAAATCATAGCTGAACAACGTCATCATGGCACGGGCGTGCATAAATAAAGATTTATAGCGGCTTTATAGGACTTATACAGGGCAAGCACGCGCGCTATTGTTATAATACTAGATTTGAGGATTTCTCTGCAATGGTTTGAAGTCCACTGTCTGAAGTAAATTTAGAATGCATTTATAACGGGAGCTTCAATTTAGCTCTGGCTAAATCTATATAGTATCCGTTTGTAAATGCGTAGCACCCATTTGCAGTGCGCGTAAAAATCACTCATTTTTTTCCCCGCCGCGTGGCGCCTTTTCTCGCGTAGGGTGATTTTCACGCGCGCTCGCGTTTGGCTCGCTATACTATCCCTGAGCAAAAATGGGGACTACTAGTAGTCTAGAAAGCTGCCCGCAAAGGGCAGGCAAATGAAGACGATTTATCTAGATATAAGCATTTTTTGAGCTTGGAAAAATTTTGAACGAATAATGAAACATTGTCAGTCATCGGATTCGGCTTTCTTAGTATAATATATGAAACAAACGTTGATCTCGGAGGGTTTTATCCACGCTGATTTTCGACGTCGGGGGATAACACCCCTCAATTAGCGTAATTCTTCATCCATGTATCATACTTAGTCTCATTGAAATTACTATTTATTTCACAATGAAAATTGCCTGAACGTAAGAACAATCGGACAGCACAAGCACAAAGACAGAAAGCAACACTTTCCCTTTTTAACGCTTGCATTGTGCCTGTGTCGCTCTCAGTGAGAACTAGGCTTTAATTTTGTTTGTTACAACATTTCATTCCAGCATATTTGATGATGTTACCCCTGCATTCAAACAATGGAAATCAAAGGACGTTAAAATATATATTTATTCATCTGGAAGTGTGGCTGCTCAAAAGCTTCTGTTTGGAAATTCTAAGTTTGGAGATTTATTACAGGTAATTAAACTGAGTTTTGCTCTGTAACAGTTTTTTTCTACTGGAGCTACAAAAAACCTTATGCACAATCTTAAAAAACTCCGAAACTCTTAGCGCCTTCAAAGAAAGCAGCTTAAAATTAGTGGGAGGAAATGTTTCTGTATTCCTGACAAATCAGGAAATTTTGATACGTGATTCACTTTTCTGTTTACACGTAGATGCCTGAATTCGAAATAAAAATATCGACGTGTCCAAAGATTTTGAATACGGTGAATGAATACTTTGAATCCAAATGAATATTCTCACATTAACATCTGTGTGTGTAAACGTTAATGAACCCAAATACCCTATATGCAGTTAACCCGAAAAATTTATTAAGAACTCCCTTTTAGTTCAAAACCTTGCCGTTCTTTGTGTCGTCATGCAACGCTCCTGTGTAGAGAGCAGACTAGTGATAATCTGATAATGACGTCATTGCATATGTGACTGCAAGTAAGTATCAAACATTGACAGACCTGGTGCGCTGTTTGTTTGACAAGTTGTGCGGTATTGGTCATCACGTCTTCCATTAGGTAATCTTCGTCACGATGTATGTCTTCTTGACGTTCATCCTTAATATCGTCATCATCATCATTATCATCATCATCAGCATCACTGACACTATTACTACCAACTGTCATAGTTTTTATGTCAATATGGTTAACATTCTTGGATTTTTTTCTCCTCGCCTCTAGTATATAAATGGACATTTTGACACTAATATCGGAGCGAAAATGGAATCAAACAGTTACGAGAAGATAGCAGAGGAGATGAAGATGAAGCCCTCGAGTATTCTTTTTGTTACTGACGTTATTGGTGGTAAGCTTTTAGAGTTATCATTGTCAAACACATCCATTTTGGCTTTGTTTGAAAACTCTCATAGTCAGGCGAAAAAACCTCTCATAGTTCCTTTGTTTAACAAAGATTAAGTCCACCATAACCAAAGGGAGAACGCAGAAAAAAGGTTTTCCTGATTAATAATTCATGGGCGATGGAATGTCTCCCTTACCCTTCAAATACGGCCGTCTCCTCTCGTGAACTCGCCCCTCGCTGCTAGGGACATTTTGCCACCTGCATCTCCTCGCTCCCCTCCGCTAGAGACATTGCGCGGGAGAGAGTCTCTCCCACGAAACGTCCCAAGCGGCGAGGAGCGACGAGACACGGCTGTATTCGCAGGCCAGTTCTCCCGTTCTTTTTCGTTAAACTTTGCCTCCAATGATATCTTCCGTGAACATTTCGGCCCGATTAGTTACCCGTGTGGGGTCTCCGAGGTATGGTTAAGACCCGATCGCGGAGATGACCTCCAAAAAGGACTTTACAGATTAAAGGATGCGTAAAACCGACACGCCGGAATCTGGGTAATATTCCCGATTAGATGTGGCGCTTCCCCAGTATGTTTTAACTAGTATTGTATGAGGCTGTACATGAGAACGTTGAGTGAGAGTCGCTCATGCAGTTATTAACCAAACTCTTCTTGAGGTACATGATAAGGGGTTCCATTTTCAATGGAAAGTGTCAGTAATAAAAGGGGTACCTATTTGGTCAGAAGTAGGGTATAAAAGGGCTAGGGTCTGGACTTCGGGACAGAGCATGCCTGTATAAAACTTGTACCCTCCCATCCGCCCTCTGTGCCCTCCAAGTTGGGATCCTGTTAATAACAGTTATATGTAAGTGGAAGTATGGGTAAGGGTGTGTAAGAATTGGTTGCCATTTTAATGCTTCGCGCCCTAGCACAATTATGTTGGAAAATGGCTTCGACAATTCTGCAATTTAGTTTATTAGCACCCAGTATAACTTTTTTAGTCAGCGTACAAAAGGTTAAAAACAGGGTATTGGCAATACATGAAACTTCGAACATTGCGGCAAAATGACGAGGCCGCTTAGCTCGTTTAAACTTTGACACTATT